GGTACGAAAACTAGACTCTTGTGGTGTGCTGGGCTGGGACCAGACGGAGGCCTTGAACCTACTGGTGGACCTAAATTGGTGTGACAAGGAGTTCTTTGGACTGTAGCTTTTGTCATGCACGTTTAAAGATGTTTTTGTCTTAAACTCAGCAGTGTGTGACTTTTGGCTCCATAATGAGCAGTTTGGATGGAGGACTTAAACTGTGAATACATTTTTGGAAAGGGCAAGTAGGGAGAGCTCCCTGTTGTGGAACAGCTGTAACAAGCAGCTTTTGGCTGCTTAACTGTGAACTACGGCCATAATCTTTTCTTTTTCTCTTTTTTTTTTTTGTTTGTTTTTTGGTTGTTTTTTTTCTGGGTTTTTTTTGTTTTTTTTTTTGTTTTTGTTTTTGTTTTTTTCAAGAACTACCCACATTTGTGGCTGGCAAAGTGCATTCCTTGTTAATATTTTTTTAATTTATTACAGCCCAAAATGAAGTATTTATTACACAAACATTTTTGGACGTTGATATTTTAAATATAAATTTGTTGACAATAAAGAAAGTGGAAAAATGAAGTAGTAGTCTCCCCTCATTTCTCCTTAGCATGCTATTTTATAATGCAAACCAGATCATCTTATTGATTGCTGCTTGTTTCACTTGATCTGAGATTGCATGCCATCAAACCTTTATCACTATGTTTAAATAGAAACTAATCACATGACCTGATCTGTCAAAAAGCAAACTTTTCTAAATTTAAAAAAAAAAAAAAAAAAAAAAAGCTAGATGAGTGAAGCCATAGGGTAATTCTGTAAATCCTGTCTTAACATCTTTCTACACATTAATACTATAATTAAAATCAAAAGTGAGTTGGGATTTCAAGGGGCATCACATCAGGATCCTTAATTGTTTCCTTAAAATAAGTTCTCAGCTCTGGATATTGGGTACAATTTTACTTTTTAATAACAATTCACAATGAATGTGACAACCTTTGAGATCAGGTGAAGAGAGGTTTAAATTATTCCTGGGGAACTTGTGACCCATTAAAACAACTTTAACTTTACAGCTGACTCCTTTTTGTTGCACATGCCCAGGCGTGTTTTCTCCTTCCCTGTTGGGGTAGGGGAGGGGGTATCCCATAGTTCAAATAACCACCTTATGTGTCAAACAAACAAGCTGGGGAGACCAAGCTGCTTCAGCATGAAATTGAGTGACCAAGTTCTTGACGGAAAAACTAACAAACCAGTCTTCCTTACGAAGAAATGTTCTATATTTGCCAAATATGAAGTGTAGTGGCTAGGGGAATAGGGAAGAAGAGGGAAGGAACTGTGAATTTTGATCTATCTTCTTTCCAATTGGAGATGGGAAGGGTGTCAGGGCAGAGGGGCATGGTATCAAACTACATGTTCAAGGTACAGTTTGAAGTTCTAAAACTCAGCTCTCCCTCTCCCCCTCCCTGCTTTCTTTTTTGCATCCATTAGATAGTTACAGGCTAAGGAAGGAAAAGGACACTAATATGGCATGAGTTGCAAACAGATGGGAAGATGATAGCTAAGCACAAACTACTTTAATCTGAAGTTTTAAATATGTACTCCTGCAGTTTTGCTATTCTGAAGCATGACCTATTACTGCCTTCACTAATGCACATAGAATGATAAGGAATTCAATTCCTAGTTACAAAGCCATAGTAAAATCAGGTGTTTTAAAGCATGTGTTCCAGTAACGTAGCATACAGTAATCCAATCGCATACTCCAAAATAATCCCAATGTAATTGTTAGTTATTTAAAAACAAAGCAGAGACTAGTGATGCAAAGAAGAACAGTGATGGCTTTGGCATAGCAATAAAGGCAGTTGAATGTAAAGTAATCATTTAAAATGTCAACTGTATAAAACCCAGGTGCAAGTAAAAATGAAGAACAAGGTAGTTAGACTTTGCTTCTACTTGCCAATACTTTAGCTCCTATTATGTATCCATCTATTCCCTCCCTATTGCTTAGCATTCATTAAAAATGCTTGACCCCTTAAGTCTAAATAGGAATATCCAGTAGAGCTGTTTCTGATGGTTTCAACAGTGTAACTACAGGTATGTAAATGTGTTCTCAGTGCAGTAAGCAGAATTTAGCCTTGTGGGAGGAAGGGTTAGTGACTAATTCCATTCTCAATAGATGATTATTTATTCAATTCCATTACACATATACAAACTGTTATTGTAACCATCTCTTGGTTTTGCAGAACAAGATCTAATTTTTAATATTCAACAAATCTTTTCAATGTTTGTTTATATCAAGTGTTTTGGAATATGGGCAAAAGTTCCTCTATAGTAGCAACCTGGTAACCGGGCACACATGCTGTAACAAACATAGATCTTTGCTTCTACAGCTATAGGTCTTTGGAGCAGTTAACATGACAACTTTATGGCCCAAATTCAGGCTTGCATAAGCAAATAACCTTGTTTAATTTCCAGCCTATGCTTAAGCTAGCCAACCTTTTTGTAAAAATTAAAATGCTTCAGCAGTGAAGTTTTTAAATCTACTGTAGGATGTTTACTCTGTCCTGGCTACATGTAGCCAAACTGCCTTGTATACAATTAGGGGTGTGGACACCTAGTTGGAGCCTCTTCAAATTGGAGAAATTCTCCAAACAGCTGGTATATTCTAATTGTTCAGTGTCTGCAAATAATTCAAATCTAAGTTTTAACATTGGATGGAGGAGTGTTAAAGTTGCTATATTAGAATCAGTCTTGGCTCAAACAACAATTTGTTGTTGGCAATCCCTCAATTTGGGGATGATCTCTAGCATGGGTCTTGAAATTACTTCAGGTGAGCCACAGATATTGCAGGTCTTTCCACATGGCTGTAGGCCAGGATTTCTCTCCTTTTCCTTCCTCTGCTCTCTCTTCTCTGCTTCAACGGTAAGATGCTTTACCTCAAAGCAGGCTGTTACTTAGTTGAGGTTGTGGCACCAGTGGTGTCGCTGAGCAGCCAGCTCCTCGTAGATAACAATAAGAAAGTACCAGGCGATGCCTTTGGGGAAACATTCCTCTTTTGAAATGGCTGCAAGCATTTGTGTGACCACACCTTGAATACTGGATACTCGAATACGGCATTGCATGTAGACAGTGGCAGGAGCTTGATTATGAGTTTTTTCTGTTCCATATATTGTCTTCCACAGCTGTTCCTTGAAAAAATTAAAACTAAAAACGGCCTTAACTAGCTAGAAGAAAACAGGGCAACTTTAAAGTGACAGTTCCTTAGCCATGGCCTCATAACCGAGGAAGGGAATGAAGGAAGCGTTGTAAGAACCATACCTAGACCAGTAGGGCCAGATTCTTTCCTATGATGGATCCTGTCTTGGATAAGAGATTATCAGGCACATCATCCAACCTTCTTCCTTCCAGTTTCATAAGGTTCCTGCAGTAACTGCTTACATAGAAAATTCTTGTTAGAAGAAGCAGCCTTAGATTTCCCTTCAGTGTGATTAGCAAAATCATAGGCTGCATCCAGATGAGTGCAGACATACGGTATATGGCACTGCAGACCTGTCTATGGCGCCACACACCATGCATGCAGACATTCCCTGTACTGCTACCTTGCAGTGCAGAGGTTTCTTTGACCCCAGGAAATCCCAGGGCCAAAAAAAACCCACGGTGAAAAGAAGTGGGGTGCCGCATGTGGTGACAGCATATGCTACCCAAAACTAGAGCCTGGGTAGATGGAGCCACACTCCAGCTGTGGGCCAGGCTTTCTGCCATGTCTGCAGCCCTGAGAGGCCCCCAGGATCCCAGGTAAGTCTACTGAGGCCAGCACAGTTGTTGGCCCAGGCTTCCCCTACCACACCTGGGATAACCTGCCACATGCCAGACCACACATGGCATGGGTATTCCCTGGGGACAAGTAGCAGCAGCACAAGATGTGCTGCTGCTACTTGTCCTTGGGGCAACAAACATCTGCACTTGTCTAGGCACTCCCATCGAATCATAGAGAGGTAGGGCTGTAACAGATCTCTGGAGGTAATCTAGTCCAACCTACTGCCCAAAGCAAAATCCTCCCTATCCCATACAGATCTTGTCTAGCCTATTATCAAAACTATAAGACATGTCCAAATAAGTATGTACGTGCAGTCTGAGGCACCACAAGCTGCATGTGGTACATGTGCAAGTATTTACCACATTAATTTGAGCACAGAGGCAAAATTTGACACTAGGAGATCCTAATGTCAAAAAAGCTGCAGGAAAAAAGAGGGGGCAGCGCATGTAACAGCAGCATGCACCCCCAGAAATGGAGCCTGACCAGCCAGAGCTACCTTCTGGTCCAGCCAGGCTCCAAGCAGCTGGATCATCTCTACTGCTACCCTGGGAGACCCTAGGCCACTAGGTAAGGCTGCTGAGACCAACATCTGTACTGGTCCCAACCTTCTCTACCCCACCCAGGATAATTTTCTTTGCACCAAATCCCACATACAGTGGTGTGCCCAGAGGCAGAAAGCATGCTTGTGTACGTGGGGGCATGCCCATAGAGTTAATCCAGTTAGACAGCCACAAGGCACAGCACCTTAACCTATCAAAGTGAAGCAGGGACACAATGACAGATTGTGTCCTGCTGTTAGAGAGGTTGTTAAAATATGCTCAAGATATCCATTGATGACAGCTGGCCCCCATACCACAGCTATAGAGTAAGGCACATCCCCCTCTGCTCCAGGCTGATCTGTATCAGTTTAACCATGGAGTAAAATTTCTGCCTGACTCTAGGTGTAGTAGTTGGTCTGACCTGAAGTGGAGGAGCAAGACCCTATAGCCAGGAATCTCCAGGTTTTTGCCCAGTCAAAATCCTCAGCCTTGGCTGCAGCCAACACCTATGGCTTCTCGGGAAAGCAAAAAGGAAAAATAAACCTGACATATGGCAACAGGAAAGGAAAATAATTCCTTTCTGGTCCCAGTAAAGGTTGCCACGCAGTTGAGCACAGGCATAGTTACTCCTAGATCACCC